TATACTCTTTATCGAATAATGATCTAATCTAAAAATGCGCATTTGCGGCCAATTTTGTTATTATTTTTTGACAAGAATTCATAACTGTTAGTTGACTTTTTTTTTGTTTATTTGTGTAATAAATATTTTTACAAAAAACTTAGTTTTATTATACAATATTAATGAATTTAACTCTTTAAGCAAAAACTGCACACTCTTACCACCGTCACCCCATTTTGGACATGAATTGGCTGATACATTAACTCATTTTTCCTCAATAAGTTTATCACACTGTAATAAAGATGGTGCCCTGAATCAATGCTATTTTCGACCATTGTCCATCTATATACAATCTTTTGACTAAATGTTTGTTGGTATACGGGAAAGATGATTCTGACTACTCATGAGATAAGAACGAACGTAACATACTGCTATTTTATTTTTGTATGGATTTTCAAACATTATTTATCAAGTTATTTTACGTGTAAGGAACCTTGTCCGATCAGGAGGCCTATGCACCACTTAAATAAAAATAGGATTAAAGCAGTGAACTGTAGCTAGTGAAATAGTTCCAAGGACAGTTGTTTTGGGATGCCAAGGACACCACAGCACAAATACCTTGAAGAGGAAAAAATTATTACGAATCATTTAACACAAGGAATGGTCAAAAATGTATTTGACCTCGAAAATAAATCCATGAATTCAAGTGCTATTTCTAACGAAAAATTGACTCGATTATGGTTCAAAATGCTTTCCTAATTTGATACATCTACATATACGAAACTTATATTTTTCCACATATCGCGGTGGAAAGTGTTTCAATGCTGTCAAGAGATAAGAAGAAAATTAATTTTATCTCGAGCAGAAATTAAACACAAGGAGAAGAAAAGAAGTTGCATGTTTCTAATACAAAATTCTAGTAATGTTTCAAAATTAATATCAGGATCGGTTTCAGCGATTTTTAATCCTAAATCGCTTTAAAACATTAAATTGTACAGTATGGTTGAAAACAAAAATGAAAACCATCTTTTTTATTTCATGTAAAATTATTTTTAATAAAATTTATCTTAACAAAGCCTTTTAAGTGGTAAATATACTTTTATTAATAAATAATTTTTTTTTCGATTTATGGCCTAGGTGTATATACCAAATATGCCAGTCTCAAATTTGTGTTTAAATTCTTAATCATGTGTGTTCTGTGTAGGCTTTGTTACTGTTTCCCAGCGCCACTTCAGGAATGATTGATCATTTTTTTAAGTTTTTAAATCTTTTATTTATTCAAGTATTATTTTCATAAATAAAGTGGAACTGGAATTATTATATAATTTTTTTGATTATTATAATTCCAGTAAAATTAAATCTAAAGATAAAGTACTTTCAGATCAGCTGTCAAATATGTTAAATGTGTATTTCTATTTTTATCTATGTCACAGTTTATAGCTAAAGAATCAGTTAGCTCACTCAGACCAATTGGATGTTCCAAAATAACATCCACTCCAGGGATACAAATCCAGGATGCGCAGAAGACTGCTGTTTGAATTCCAAACAAATGAACTGCCAGTGGGAAGATTTGATATATCCAAGGGTTGCGACATACGATGTATTCTGTTTACAATACGTAAAATCATGAATAATGAATTACATTTAAATAATTTATGTCAAACACAATAAAAATAATAATAAAAATAAGATACATTTTTTCATAAATTGACAGGCTTGGTGACTATTATTTCGAATAAAAAAAGCGTTCAAGATGCAAGACTATGTCTACCCCCTTAGATATAACAAACCTTCTCACTGACCGCTATTGTTTGACAGGTCGTTGGAATGCCTAATTGGTTATAGTAATAGAGCCCACTGCAAATTACGATCGCCATCTGATAACAAAATGAAATATGCTCCAAAGACATTTAACAACATTGTACTTTACCAAATGGCACCTGTGCCAATCTCTAATCCTGAGCAAAGTGGTTAAAAAAATTATTTTATATTCAAAAAATCACATAAGACATGACAGCAATAATTGTGTTTTCCATGAAAATTACAATCCTAATTCATTGTGAACTTAACTTTTAAACCTGAATTAATAATATTGCCGTGACTAGCAGTACATCGGATGTACACGCATTATTTGTACATCGGATGTATCCCCCATTATTTGTACATCATAATTCTAACCTAACCCTTTTTCAGATGATGGAGTGGAATACTTAAGTATTTTTCTGTAGTATTTTATAAACCTTAGAAGCAAATTTCACATACATGAACAAATAATAATAATGCCGTGACAACAAGAAGACGAAGCAACGACTTCTCATTAGAAAATTTCAATCCATACCTGGCTACACCGACCGGCATAAACACTAACCCCCTGGACACAGCTCACCTACTCTGTCAAAAGGTGACCGATGTACAAATAAAAGGAGTACATCCGATGTACTGCTAGTTACTGGCTACTAATAGTTTTACCTACCTTTTGCAGAGTCAATAATTTATAAACTCTTGTTAAACAATTCTTTTAAACCATAATCATAGTAGTTTTTTTTGTCGTTTCTATGGCAACCTTTAAAAATGAATCACAACAATAGGCATGCAAATAAATTTTTAAATCAGCAAAAAGTGATTTATATTTTTAATGATTTTTACCTACTAATCGTGTTTTTGTGCGATGTTAAAAGGAAGAAAATGTTTCCCGTTAACGATATATATCAAAATATATGTTATTATCTGGAAAACTTTAAGGGCAAACAAAATTAGCGGCGTCATGCCTTATGTGATTTTTTTAATATATATTTTTTTTTAACCACTTTGCTCAGGATTGGGATTGGCACAGGTGTCATTCGGTAAAGTACAATGTTTTTACAAGCTTTTGGGGTATATTTTATTTCATAATCAGATGGCGGTAAAAATTTGCAGTGGGCTCTTGGGCTATTATGATTCGATTCTGTAGGCTCCAGGGATACAAATCGCAATGTATAAACTGGAACATTGAGATCAAAAGTGCCGACGCAGAGTGAGCGAACTGATTCTTTTAAACTGTGTCTATGTAATGTTCATATTAATAGTAACATAGATTTGATGATTAAATCGTAAACATTGAGTTTTATACCTAGATTCTAGATGTTTATTTTTAATAAATTATTAAAATAATTTTAAAGTAACTACATTATTTTTAGTTTTTTTTGTCAATATAAATATTTAATTAGATAAATCATGTGAAATAAGCTTGAGCTCAGTTCTGTACCGTTTGGAACCGTTATTCTTATTTTGACACATTCACCTCTACTCAAATATCATTTTTCGTCTTTTTCTTTTTTATTCGCCTTGCGAGAATTACTTTTGATTTGAATGTCAACGAATCAAGTTGATTTTAATTCTTAATTATTTTTAATATTCGTATATTCCGTCTGATTTTGTAAGGTAAGCTTTAATACTAATATATTGTTGAAAATACATATTTTGTACAAAGATTTTTTAATTAAAATGTCAAATATTGTACATAACCTCAATATCAACATGGATATCACATGTTCGTTTTATATAATTTTATATATTATTTTGTTTGGAATAAGATATTATGCTTTACTATGTTTAAATATGTTAAATAAGATTTTTCCTTTTCATATTAATTTTAGTCTCTGTGAAATTATTCACTTAATAGTTTTAAATTGTTCATTTATTGGTTAAAAGCTTTTTATCTAAATCCTGTTCCAATTTCCTATATCCTGTCTTAACATTTTAACCTTTTCTTTTTAGCATTGGCTATATCTAGACGGTTTATGCTTTATGGAGATTTGTATCTAAACGGTTTTATGGTTTTTATACCTAAGAGTTTGGTGCAATCTGAAGACCGAGGTTTGGTTCACCTATAGAAGATCGACACAATATCGTTCAAGTCCAGAATTAAGAATAAGGATCCCGAATCCCTTTGAAGAAGGCCTAAAATTCCATGCAAATCACTCCTTATATTACTACCTCCTGTTAACAACAGATAAGTGTTCTTTTTAAATAAATCTTCTAAATTTGAATTTAGTAAAACTACTTATGTGAATTAGAATTTGCTGCTGCCTTATCTAAAACTTGGATTAAATATAATTTGTTAGTGGTTAGTGATTTTCTATATTTTTATCACTAATCTAAAGTCAAGTATATTAAGTTTTAAATATAGTGGTGCCCAACTTCTTTTTCAAGGTAATTCGAGTTATATCAAGTATCATGTTACAGTTCATAGAGCGTTCAACTTTATCAACTTTGCATGTTTCGACCACATCGCGACGCTGGTTCAATCCCCCACGATGGAAGCAATCTTTTTATTTATTTTTTATTTTTGCAAAATATGAAAATTGAAAAAATACGACCATTGTTATTTATTTATTTTAAATAGGTACATTTTACTTATCTTAATATAACATTTACAGTTAATCTTTTGGCTATTTATTTGATACTATTTTGATTAATGTTCAGAAATAGTATAAGTAGGTAATTATCTTTAATAATAAAAAAGTTCTTGTTCACCGTTGTTCATCTTATTATATGTTGTATTTAAAATAATGAACTAATGAAAATTATTTTGTGGTTATAGGAAAATTGTATATTACTAGTAAAAGTGATTTTTCACACACTCGTAATTTAATTAGAATTATTACACCGTCTATTGAACAAAAGAATTATTAAATATGGAATACTGCTCATCTGTTAAATATGACACATAAATCACGTCTATCAAAATTAGTCAGTGTTACGAATATTGGAGTGTGCTACCGTGGCCTTAAGAATAAAAGTAGTTCTTCTAGTTTAGAAGTTTGTGGACCAACAGAATTGTAGATTAAACAAATAAACAGCTTCATAGCATTACATATTGTTAAATTTAAGTTCGGGCATAATTGATAGTTAATTATTACTCTAAAAGTTCCATATCATCTTACCTAGGTATCATTATTTAAACTTACAGAAAATCAAAAAGGAAAAGGCTTTGGTACCTTTCTTTTATAGTTTATTTAAACCTAATTAAAACTACTTACCACATAGCTTGTACAGACACTGGCTTGAATATATGATGTCTATCACAGACGCTCACGCTGAAACCTCTGAAAATAAAAAAACTACATTAAATATTTTTGGACTAAAATAAATATGTTTACAAAGAACACCTCTTATGCATTTGGAGATATATTTTCAAACTACCAACTAAAACCAGCCAGTACTATTCTATAACTAAAAACATTGTGATGTGTATATTACTATATCTCCAAATATGGTAAGATATTTGTCTCTATTTCAGTCTAGGTGACTAATAAAATCAGATATTAAACTAAGGTGTCTAAATTATTTTTTTGGATGTTTCAGAATTTTAACATTTAATGTTCGAAATTGTTACCACACATTACAATAATAATAATAATAATACAAATGAAAAGTATGTTTGATCGTAACATGAAAAATTTGTCTCTTATCTAATAAGGGCATAGGGCGTTTCGGCACATGCTAAGCTAGGTCTGAAAAACATTGGGTACAATTTTTATAGTACCACGTGTCGGCACAAATACCTGAAACACAAAATAAATCATTTACCTAATCTTGGGAATTCTCATAATTTTATGAATAATTTTGTTCGACAAAACAATAAATAAATACAGTAAAATAAATTTTATAATAGTGTCGCATATTGCATTTCTAGATGAGACCGTTAGTAAAATATTCAATATTTTTTGTTTAAACATCATTTTTAAAAATTACTTGTTTAATCCCCTTGTCAAAAAGGGACACTTTAGTCACCATTATATTTTGTATTATCTTCTTACAGCTAAAGATTATAATTCAAGCAAAGGATAATTTACTTATTATTTATGTACTTACAAAGGCTTGTTTATTACAAAGCAATTTAAAATATATAGGTCGTCTTACTGAGGTGTTATAGAAAAATGATTCATGAAGTGTGATAAACTTATCTAAACTAAGAATAATTTTTGCTACACCCGCATGGATATTAGCTATTCTATGCACAGACTACAAAACGAAAAAGTATGCTATTGCCTTCAACTAAACGAATATATTTCATATCCATTCTAAGCAATGAGAACACTGCGAAAAAATCAAATCCACCAATCACAGTTCATATTTTGGCCACCCGGCAACTAATATTTTTAAAATTCTGTCAAAATAATTGTCAGAATATTTTTTAATTATTGAGATTGAATATACAATAAAATGAGTTGTTATTCTTGTGTAGAATCGACAAATAAGAGCGTTTCTTTTTTTATTAAGTCTTTAATTATAAATAATTCGTTAATTTTAATAAAACTATATGAAAAAAACAATAGATTTACCAAATAAATGAAAGAATATTTATTTCCTTTAAAGGTTTTGGTAATATATTTTGGTCCTTAAAAAGAAAAGGAATTTGGTGCTTTTTGAAGAAATCCACCTTTAAATCTAAATTATTTTGAGAGCGCGTATTATTATATGTAAGAAACATTTATGTTGATAGTACATCTTTGTGAGACATTGGTAGGCATAAATTAATTTAACGTTTAACATCCCTGTTTCTTTATACAGGGTGGTCCATCGGTAACGCCTCGGTCTGTATATCCAAAACTAAACTTTTTTTAAAAAATCGGTTTTTACGGCGAGATGTATATCAGAAAAGGCAACAATTTAAAAATAATTTCAATAATACAGGGTGCTTCAGGAAATTGGAATATATCAAAGTTAGGTTTTTTTAATCGGGACACCCTATATTTTATTGCATTTTTGAAATCTACATAGAAAATTAGTGTAACTTTGTTAAGGGGTTGTTATACCTAGAGTCTATCATTTTTGATATATTCGAAATTTCAAAATTTTGGAGTGTATTTGAGGTTACAGCCCAGAAGACGCTTAATGTACCTTAAAAAAATCAATTTGAAATATTAAGAAATGTATTTGCATTTTTTAAACACCCGAAAATTTTGAAAATCCTCGAATATATCAAAAATGATAGACTCTAGGTATAACAACCCCTTAACAAAGTTACACTAATTTTCTTTATAGATTTAAAACATTCAATAAAATATAGGGTGTCCCGATTAAAAAACCTAACTTTGATATATTCCAATTTCCTGGAGCACCCTGTATTATTGAAATTATTTTTAACTTGTTGCCTTTTCTAATATACATCTTACCGTAAAAACCGATTTTTTAAAAAAAGTTTAGTTTTGGATATACAGACCGAGACGTTACCGGTGGACCACCCTGTATAAATCATGTGTAGGATAGAATCTATTTTTTTTTAAATGCAATTTTCTAGATTACGTTTTGACTAACTGTTGATTTAAATGTCGTTCACCAAGCAGTTATACAGTATCTGGTTATTGATTCAACAATGGACGTGTATACATAAAATGGTCAATTTTTTTTAAATAGAATATCACGAAGTTCATAAAATGTATGCATTAAAACTCCAATACGTTTTGTCAAATAACTAATATGATTTGTCCATCTTAAATTTTGATCTATGATCATTCCGAGATATTTTATGGAGTTAGTTTTTTCATCACATTGGCAATTACAATCAATGTCTTCATTGCATTGGTGTTTATGTATTTTGATTGTTAGGTTGGTCTACGATAGTTGAAGAAAAAGCGATGGATTTAGTTTTCTTTGTATTTAAAGATAACCTATTATGATTTAGACAATTGCAATTTTTTCTAAATTAGATTCCGCGATACTGGAAGTATTTTCCTATGTTGAGCTAGTGAATATTAAAGCTGTATCTTCGGCGTAACATACAAATACGACCATTAAAGTTATTTACTTTAGTGATACTGTTAATATATATTAGGAACAATATTAGTCCCAATACTGTTCCTTGTGGTATCCCAGTCTGGATCGTAGATTCTGAACTAGTATAATTCCATAGTTTCACTCGTTGAGTTCTACCTATTATATAATTTTTTATTAGATCTAATGCAATTCCTCTAATGCCATAGTTGTTTAATTTTTCTCTTAATATATAGTGATCAACGGTGTCGAAGGCCTTGGCAAGATCCCAAAAAACTGCAAGGCATTTTGAGGATTAGTCCAAGGCCCTCACTGTTGTGTTTACAAATTCTATTATGGCATTTTCGGCACTGATGTTTTTGTCTGTAGGTCTGTAGGTCTGTAGGTCTATAGTTGTCAACTTTAGTCTTATTTCCTGACATGAAAATAGGTGAGATATTTGACAATTTCCATTGTTCTGAGATTTTACCTAATGTAAAACGTTGACTAATGAGGTTCCAAGATAAACTTGTGAATAATTTTTGTTTTTGAATTTATATTGTCAGAATCTTTAGTAACAGGGTCTAGAAGTGTTGATTGTTGTAGTGTTACATCATTTAAGAATTTTGTAGGTAATATAACTTTAGGAATTTCTTTAGACATATTTTTACCTATATGTACAAAAAAGTTGTTAAATTCATTGGCTTTTTTGCAAATTGCTAAATACGAATTAGTTTTGTATCGATAGCTATCGCGTACAGTGCATTGCAATACGAATATTTTATCTGTATTGAGTGAAATGTTTATCAGTAAATGAGGAAAGCTTATATTAGATGATTATAAACATTATAAGTTTAAAGAACATAATCCAAAATTAGTTACAGGTGAAGTGGAGGTGCATAAAAGACAAATGTGTATTTTCATACGTTAGGTGAATCGGAAGACCAGATTAAGTGAAATTCACAACCATGAACGTGAACAAGAGAATTCCTTACTATGTTAAAGTTAATACAGCACCCCTCATAATTTTCGAACAAGGTTATATCAAAAGATAAAATTTGGGCAAAATAAATTAGGCAATAATATCTAGAATGTTCATACATTTTAAAGTTTTAATTCCTTCCAGTTTCAGAGAAAAAAAAAATCAGAGGGCTTTAAATTTTGAAATATAATGAAAATAAATGCATTCCTCAACAGCACTATTCTTTATATAACCCCGAAATTTGAGCTCTTAATTTCTTGTTATTGATTTTTTAAAATTCGCCAAAATTAGTGGCTAAAACGCATCGTTAAGTGCTGCCTTCTGTTGTAAGGCGACTGTAACTATCGTATCGTACACTCTCAGTCATCATTCGTTTCCTGTAATGCTGTGGCTTCTGGGAGACATATGATAACTCCAAACACATGATATGCACATGACATAATATTTTAACAAGGTTATACCAAACAAAAATTTAATAAAGTGGACTTATCGATATCTTGTCAAACTATAACAGATTTACTAGCAGTGCTGGACTTAACAAATGCCACAGAATGATTTACACCAGTTTACACCAGAAGATAGCACTTAACGAAATAATATTATGGCAAGCAGTTGTAAGAAGGTAAAGACATACCACTTTTATTCGGAATATGAAGAACAATACTTTTTTACAGAAGTTAAAGATAAAAATGTGTGTTTGTTATGTAATACTTCGGTCTCCGTTGCTAAAAGAGGAAATTTTGAGAGACATCATAAAACTGTACATTCTAATTTTAAAAAATTATTTCCACTACATTCTGCCGCCATAAATGAGAAACTGAAACAGTTAAAAAAGCAGTTAATTGGACAACAATCAATATTTTTAAGAACAGTCGACAAAAATAAGGCTACAACTGAAGCATCGTACCGTGTGTCCCAGATAATTGCACAAAAAAAGAAACCTTATGAAGACGGGGAAATGATAAAACAGGCGTTTTTAGAAGCTGCTGATTCGTTATTTGCCAACTTTAGAATAAAGACGAGATAGTTTCAGCTTTAAAATCTATGCAACTTTCTGCTAATACAGTGATGAGACGTGTAGAAGTAATGAGCAATGATATTTTTTTACAGTTAAGAACTGACTTAGATAACTGTGTTTATTTTTCACTTCAACTGGATGAATCAACAGATGTCGTTGACACTGCCCAGATGGCCGTGTTCGTCAGGATAGTTTTTAGTGATTTTACGATTAAAGAAGATCTTTTGAAGTTTATTCCACTGAAAGGACACACTACTGGACAGGAGTTGTTTTCTCATTTAAAAAATATTATTTCTTCCGAGAAAATTCCAATATCGAAAATGGTAGGCTTGACAACCGATGGCGGCTCC